GCTGTACGCAGCAGGTCTGGGGAAAATAACGGGGAAATGTGGAACGGAAAATGGACATGTCGTGTAAGATTATGACTTCTTTTTCCTCGTAATATTATGACTTTAATCTCATAATATTATGATTTTAATCTCATAATATTGTGACTTTAATCTCGTAATATTATGACTTTTTTCTCGTAATATTATGACTTTTTTCTCATAATATTATGACTTTATTTTTATACGACTTTAATGTAAAATTATGACTTTATTCTCGTTATAAAAAATAATTAAAAGTATCTTTTGTGGCCCTAATACTCCATCGTACTATACAACTATATCCCTGACTTTACTGTTTTTCTGGTCACTTTTATCCGTGGATCTGATTGAACCACTCCAACTATATCGTCTTCTTTCATTACTGTATTGAACTGATGTTTATATGTTTTATATATTTTATTATATTTTTTCTTTTGTCCACTGTATTTTCTTTATTTGTCATATTTTATACTTATTGCACCTTTTCACCAAAGCAAACTCCTTGTCTGAATCCTGTTCGTTGACAAAGACAATAAAACAGACTCTGATTGGTCTGTTAGCAAACAGAACTGCAGTCTGAGGAGCTGCAGGTGAACTCAGATTTATCTTTACAGGAACACAAACCGCTCTGCGGTCAAATAACCGCTTCACTTCTCCAACAGATTGGGGCCGAAAGGTCAAGAGCCGCTCGCGTAAAGTGACGAGCTATCGAGCGTTCAATGAAGCAAAGAGCAGCCTGTGTGTGTGTCTGTGTGTGTGTGTGTGGGGTGGGGGGGGGGGGGGGGGGGGGGGGGGTTGGAACCATTCAGGGGGGCTCATCAAAATCACATCAAAGGCCTAACAGAAACAAGAAAATACATCAAAACAGCTCGTCCTTTTTTTGTTATCGTCTTTTTTTATATTATTACAAAACTTTACAGATGGCTCCACCCTGGAGTGGAAACAAAACAAAACAAAACAAAATTAAAATAAGAAGTATTTCTCATCCAAAAAGGGCATAAATAATATAAAAGACAAACTTTTTTTTCTTTTAAACAGATACATTCATATGAAATAATATTTTACTACTACAAAAAAATAAATAAGTCATCTAAAGAGTTCTTGATGTTTTACGAGGGGTCCCTCCGGTGGGATAAAGTTTTTTTTTTGTTTCTCTCCATCTGGATTTCGCTCTCGGTCCTCGACGCCGTTCGTTTCGTCCCGATCCAACAGCTGAGTCTTTGTCACCGTAACTCTCAGTGTCTCTGACGTTTCCGTCTGCCATCGGCTCGGTTTCTGCAGACCCCCATAACCTGTGTGTGTGGGGTGGGGGGGGGGTCAGGCCTCCCGCGGGCCGGCCCGGATCAGCTCTCCGCTGGAGATCCAGCCGGGCTTGTCGTCGCAGTCCGAGTCCGGCAGTCCGAGGCTGTCCCAGGACACCACTCGCTCCTCCGTCTCCTCGCACTCCGGCTCCTCCTCGGCTGCAAACAAACAGACAAAAACAAGTTTAAAAAAAAGGAGAAACAGGCGAGAGCAGATCGTGGAGAGGCTGACGCTGCCGTTTGTGGCGCAGCTGCACAGTTTGTCTGCAGACAACGAGATAAAAACCCGACGGAGCGGCTCAGACACCAGGAGACGCGTCCAAAACAGAAACCACTAAATTCAGAAGGTTCTGGACGTGGGCTTCCTGTGTGGCTCTGTGGCGCAACGGACAGCGCATTGGACTTCTAGTTAACCACCAGAGGAGTGATTCAAAGGTTGTGGGTTCGAGTCCCACCAGAGTCGAGGCTTTAATGTTAAAACTATCTTTGTAGTGAACGTCTAAATCAGGGGTGCCCAAACATTTTCCCTGAGGGGCCAAAATTTAAATCAATCTGAGGGCCGTGGGCCAAATGCAGTTATATGAGAAATGCAACAACTTAAGTTAAGTTGTTTTATTTTTTATGATTAAGATAGCAGCCAGTGTGGTTGACCACATTCTTTAGTTGTTTTTTTTTTGGCCCATGGACATGGAGAAAATTCAACGTATGCTCAGGCAGCAAAGGCTCATGGGACTTTTCATAATTTAAAAATTTGAATATATGTGGTTTTATAAGGTGTGTAAATCTATATATGGGCTTAAATCTAATCTGAATATCTCCTGTAGTTACTTGTATTTTATATTTAATCTTAACATAATTACAATCTAGTAAGCAGGACAGCTGCTGGTGGGCCAAATCAAATGGCTCGGGGGGCCGAATTTTGGCCCGCGGGCCCCACTTTGGGCATCTCTGGTCTAAATGAACCTTTGGGACTTTCCTCTCACCTCGATAAGACAAACGGGGACACCGCGTCCTCTCGCAGTCTTTAGTCGTCAGCTGAGCTGATTTTATCAGGTTTCAACAGGACGATGAGACGTTTTCAACAAAACTCCAGGTTTTATCTTTTTTATCGATCCAGTTAAATCATTTATCACAAACTAAACAAAATGATTTAAACAGGAGAATCAGGCTCTGTGGCGCAACGGACAGCGCATTGGACTTCTAGTTAATCACTGAAGGAGAGATTCAAAGGTTGTGGGTTCGAGTCCCACCAGAGTCGAGGCTTTATTGGTTCAATTAAAGCAATGTCCATTTTAAAATAAAACAAAAATGGTTTTTTTTTTGTTTTAAAACTAAATTAGAAAACGATAGCAAAATTGAAAAAAAGCTACCTTTTTTCTTTTCTTTTTAAAATTTTAACGGTTAAAGCAAATTATATTTTGTTAGAAACAATTTGTTTCTTTCTGTCAGATGAAATCCTGAAGCGTTACGTTTTCACTCAGAACGTTAGAAACAGCTTTATTTTGAAGGAGCCGATATCTTTAGGAATTTTTTTTGTTTTTAAGCAGTTTTCGTGAACAATAAACTCCTCTTCCTTGGTGACTGCCGGGTTAAATACAGGTTAAATGAATTCCTGTTGTGGCAGAAACTGTGTTCATTTATTCTGGATTTAAATAGTTAAAGCAAAGCTCAAAAAATGATTTGATTTTACATTTTTACATTTCATATAAGCTGCTGTTTGAATAATGGCAAATCTTTTTTATTTATTTTTCTTTTCGCTGATCGTTAGGGTATGAATTCTCTATATGTATGTAGGGGTGTATGTAATATATATATTTTTTCGTTAAATGGGGGCAGACATAAGATTTTTTTCTTCTTTCTGCTCTTTTGTTGTAATTAATTAAATGAAATAAACTTAAAAAAATTAAGTTTTAAAAACAAAAGAACATATTCTTGGTTGTTTTCTTTTTGCTGTTTTATTTTGATATGTAGCCGAGGCTCTGTGGCGCAATGGACAGCGCATTGGACTTCTAGTTATCAACCAGAGGAGTGATTCAAAGGTTGTGGGTTCGAGTCCCACCAGAGTCAAGTCCATTATGCTGCAGATCAACATGAAAGTACGTCTCCACAACAGTTTGAATTCAGCTCTAAACTGTTCCCAAACCCTCAAAACTCAGAGAGACAAAGTGAAATATTGCTCATTTTCCCGCAGACCGTCGCTCTGTTTGGTGTTTTTAGAAACTGCAGCTGATCTAAATTTTATTCTTGATTATTTTTATTATGAACTTCAAACTGAATGAAGTTTTTAACTGATTTATTGGTTTTACTGAAGGTTTAAACAAGAGTTTAGATCATTTCAGCTGTTTGAAAGTGTGGACCAGTAGTTGGACTTCTAGTCAAACACAGAGGAGCAATTCAAAGGTTGTGGGTTTGAATCCCACCAGAGTCGAAGCGTTAATGTTGACAGTAAAGAAAGTGTCTCACCGGTGCTGTCTTCTGTAGAGTTTTCATTGTTCTGGATCAGACAGCAGGAGTTCTGAGAGGGTGAGGACTCCCTGCGCTCCTCCACCTCCGGGTCAGACCCTCGGCACCTGGGCGAGACCTGGCCCAGCGGGACCATCTCCAGCCCGTCCTGCTGGCAGGGAGCCAGGCGGGGGGGCAGGGAGCCGTTGGTCTTCTTGTAACACCTGGTGGAGAGAGAGAGAGGATCAGTCCTCCACCAAAACCACCAACTGAGCCAGACCCAAGACCTGACCCACCAAAACCACCAACTGAGCCAGACCCAAGACCTGATCCACCAAAACCACCAACTGAGCCACTGGGTTCTGGACTATCACCAAAACCACCAACTGAGCCAGACCCAAGACCTGATCCACCAAAACCACCAACTGAGCCAAACCCAAGACCTGATCCACCAAAACCACCAACTGAGCCAGACCCAAGACCTGATCCACCAAAACCACCAACTGAGCCAGACCTAAGACCTGATCCACCAAAACCACCAACTGAGCCAGACCTAAGACCTGATCCACCAAAACCACCAACTGAGCCAAACCCAAGACCTGATCCACCAAAACCACCAACTGAGCCAGACCAAGACCTGATCCACCAAAACCACCAACTGAGCCAAACCAAGACCTGATCCACCAAAACCAGGAACTGAGCCAGACCCAAGATCTGATCCACCAGACTGAGAGTCTAACTGAGCCAGAGCCAAGACCTGATCCACCAAAACCACCAACTGAGCCAAACCCATGACCTGATCCACCAAAACCACCAACTGAGCCAAACCAAGACCTGATCCACCAAAACCACCAACTGAGCCAGACCCAGGACCTGATCCACCAAAACCACCAACTGAGCCAAACCCAAGACCTGATCCACCAAAACCACCAACTGAGCCAAACCCAAGACCTGACCCACCAAAACCACCAACTGAGCCAAACCCAAGACCTGATCCACCAAAACCACCGAGCCAAACCCAAGACCTGATCCACCAAAACCACCAACTGAGCCAAACCCAAGACCTGATCCACCAGACTGGTCTGGTTTCAGGAACTTTAAAGTAAATTTCAAACTTAAGTTTTTACTTATTTGTGTTCTGAGAAGCTGAATGTTGCACCCAGTGTGCTTTTCCATGTTTCCCCAGAACTTAACCCCGCCCCCTCACACACACACACACACACACACACACACACACACACACACACACAC